TCCATTGTAGGCCAGGCCAGGTATAGAGTGTTTAAGTTGGTTAAAGTTGGAGTGGGCTGGTGGACCTAACATCGATAACAATATACAAATGCTCTTGTATTAGGACCTCTATCGGAATAAATTGCCTCTCTCAATATCATTCATATATTCGTCCTTTCCTCTCGCAATTTGAGTTGCACACGAGCTTTTTACGTGGTGCCCAGAATAAAAAGAACGGAAAAGCCACGTGAGCGGATTCCGAAGTGGAAAAGGGCTCACCACTCTTGTTTCCAAGACGATTCTATACTGAATCACACCACGGCATGTACCAAACTTGGGGAATATCTCGTAGATTTCGCTTCGACAAGTGATGACGCAATGAATTTTGGACTCCTCTGCCCTAATCTTATTTCAGGGGAATGGATGCAATTCGCGGGAACGGAAAGTGTGCCGCAACAGCTCCAGGAAGTAACAAGTAGAGGGGTAATTTTCGCGCATTAGGGAAAGAAGCAGTCGCGTTTTGAGACCGATTCTCGGCGAAGAAAGACCGTAGCTATACCCAGAGGGTTGATTTTTGAATCGAATGATGCAAAGGATGCAAACAATGTCGCATGATTCCCGGAAACTTGCTGGTCAGGAGGTTCGTCGTCTCGTGAGGGGTATCGAATTAAGCGTTTCAGGCCTAACGCTTTTAGTAATACTTCCTCTACTTTGCTATTGGCTGCTTGCCTACCTACGTACTTGCTGGTACCTACAGTAATAAGTTGGTAGCGAGGTAGTACTTTCACCCTTTCACGGTATCAACTATACTTGTACTTTTGCTTATAGTGGTGCCTCTCACGACTGTTAATAAGCTGTATATTCCAGTTTTCTCTTCTTGTATTAATTTGGAGTCTTGCGAGAGTTAGCACCTACACGTAAGGAAGCAGAACCGGCTCCCTTCAAGGGGAGAATATCGAAAATCACTGAGAGCTTGTTTTCGTCCAGAACGAGATGATTCAGAAATATGAAACTGCTGAGCTTGATTGCTAATGCGTGTTGTCTCTTTTGGCTTTCTAAATCAGTCCGAAAAACAATCCAAATCCAATCGAAAGAATGAGAAGCGCAAGTCAACTCAAGAGGTCGTGGCAAACAATCATACTGCGGTACGAAAAGCCTACAGATTATTCGGCCTACCTACCTACTTATAGGAGTCCTCTTGATGTACCCATATCCCCCAAATACTCTGCGCTAACCCGGATATCGAACTCTGGCCAGAGAGCCATCTTTTCTACTCCTAGCTAATTCCAAAAGTCTGTATATTCAATGAGATCTCCAAAAATGGTTGTTAATATTGTGGTAATGGCATCTATGCGGAACATCAACCAGTAGCGAAGTTCAACCCTTCCTCCTTAGCTTGCATCTTCAAAGTAGAATGACATAGTCCCGTCGGGCCCCATACTTAGTGATAGGGGCAGCTTCAGTTCAATAAATAAAAGTATGTTCAAGTCCCTCCTGCATCGATACGACCATTTAGTGTAGAGCCACATCGCTATTTGAATGGCACCACAGGTAGAATTCTTCCTGCGATCAATTGAAGCTGTCGGAGCGTATATCGAGCAAAGCTCCTGTCACAGCAGCATCTAACTTGAGGCTTTAGGTTCGCCGCGAGATTTACATGTCTAATCAGCCTAGCCAGTCTACTTAGTATAAGTCCAAGTTTTTTTCTAGAGCTAAAGTTAGGGTGAGGTATTTTGGGGTGGGGGTGGGGGGATAAAAGGGAGGCTACCAACCGAGCAAAGACTAAGCAGCACATAATAAATTGCTCTTCCTGGTCGTGGCTGTAATCAATTCTGGGGACAGAACGCCGCGGCGAGAGGACAGAATATCCAATCAGCGCAGGAGAAGGGTAGTTCCATCTCTGTTAGTGCCAGCCACTAGAGCCTTCGAAACCTCATTCTTTGGAAACCCTCAGCAATGAATGCTCTTGCCATCTTTGCAAAAAGAGCTTGATGTCCTTCAGCTCCAAGCTGAGTGGCAGTGTCCGGAATATGTGAACTGCCGCCAGCAGGAGGGGACTTGGACTTCGGGTTCATCGATCGGTAGATCTGGGCTTCCGCATCCAAGCCTTGACATCGTTACTCAATCGCAGTTAACTTCCCCGTCCCACGGTGGTACTTGGAGATGTGATTTGCGGGTCTTTGTCCTGCCTTAGTGCCTGCGACGTACGATTTAATCGGTTGAATTTCTCTTCCCCGGTTCTCACTTTCCTCTTTTCAGCATATATATGATATATTATGCTACTGCTGCTTCTGCAACGGATACAACTGCCCCGATGATTATAGAAGCCTCAGCTCTTGAAAGTGATGCGTTGCGCAGAATGGGCATACACCCATTACAATGGACATTCGCCCCCCAAGCTTCTGTATTGCGGCTACCACACGCTATGCCCATTAAGAATGCTTGGTATGTTGCATCAATTTCCACGATGCGGAATCGGCTTCAATGAGAATCTGTTGAATAGAGCAGCACAGCACCAGCAGCCACAGCTGAAAAGCGAGAGACGGACGCGCCCGCCGCTCCTCGGCGAGACGGGAAAGAACTTCCGAAGCCAAGAATGGCCTTGACAGACGAATTAAAAGTAATCCGGTTCCGGATTACAAGGTATCTCCCGATCTTTCAGAATCTCGCTTGAATTGCTAGTTTGGTTCTTGTGATGGTGGTCAGATCAATCATTCGAAAATCAGCCCTATTCTCGAGCCTGGAAACCACCTTCCACTTCAATATCATGAGACTTTTATGAATGATATGCGCCCTCCATTCCTTTGCAGATACAAGTACCAAGTACATCATTTCATATGCGGTTTCGGAAGACCGCGCTCCGTACGTCCAACGTTCTCGAACCTTTCAGCTTTAGCTACAGGAAAATGGTGCTACACCACTTCGCTAAGAGACTAAAACGTTAAATATGGTGACGAGAAGTAGAGCTCGACTTCCGAATACCGTCAAACTATATCATCTAACTCCTTCTCCGAATGCCCCGGTAAGTGTGTTGCTCAGGTGTTACAAATCAACACATCAATACATCAACCAAATCTTGCTCGTCTCTAGACATCTTAATCTTGTTTACTGAGCATTAAGCATCCCAAGACTTTGAATTTACGCTGAACACGTACACACGTCCTGCTGTTCGCAGCTTCACCTTCCTCTACACAGAAAGGGAAACCCAGTTCAACCCAATGCAGACCGACGTGATTATCTTCTCCAACAGGAACACTCAAATCTACACGCGATTCAGTGTGGCAAATGCCTTGTGGCAGGCCCTGACTGAAAAACACTTCTGCATGGACACTCAGCACTCTGAAATAGCCCATGAGAGTCCAAGCTCGGGAGATTCCTCAAAAAATCCGTCCTGCTACGGTTCCTTGTCGGCACCGACGTCCTTACCATCTGCTACTTTATACACAGAAAATCGGCAGAATAATTTACGAACATACAACTCCGATGACACTACTAGAAGACCATTGTCGGATGAACATAGCGCACATCATGATTTTCAAAGCCGGATTTGGCAAGAGATCGAGAGAAGGCGAAAAGCCGACCATATCATTGACAGGATCACCAGCCCCAAAACGAAACAGCAAGCTAGGGCTCGTGAAGATAAGAACCGGTCAAGATGGGCCAAACGCTCCTCCTTATCCGGGAATTAAGCAAGTGAAATGTTCATACTGGGTACAATTCCAGTTTCTAGGCGTGGGGATCGAGATACGTGGCGTGGACTCTTAAATTTGTCCCCACGAGCTATCCCCATGGAAATCTCGGACTACCCAATCACCTCACTATTTGGGCAATTGCTGAAATGTGTTCTCTGCAATGATGTTAAGTTCTGTCAGTCTTGCGTCAGATTGCGGCTCTTTCGCCTGAAGTTCCACGAAATGTGCCCGGCTCTGTTGTTGAAGCTGAATTGTATCTAGTTTCATTCACCCAGTATACCAAACCTTCACATTGCCTTTTACTTACGGGCTCAGGCAGCAACGATATCAAAATCATCTTCTAACATCAGACTACAATTTTGAACAGCCGATGTGTTGACAAGGTCGCGAGAGCGCCACTTTGGCAAACCACCTGACACGCTAGGCGTGTCACCAACTGCGCAATCTGTCTCAACCTCGTTGCTCTTGCAGACCTGTGATAGGATGGCGACGGAATAGGAGGTTTCAGGAATGCTCTTCAGGTTACAGGCCAAAGTGTATATAAACAAGCAGAGTCTCTCTGAATAGCCCAGGGGACAGAACACAATCAAGCAGATGAATCCACTCTCATTCTGTTTACAACACGATGACCCCCCACACACCACATACCGCCAACCCCAACCACGTTTCTCTTACGAAACCGTCAAAGCCAGATACCTCCAGGTTAACGTTGACTACATGTCAATATATCCTGTAGACATCTGTCTAGGCCAAGATGTAAGGGGTCTGAAGTTGAATCAATTTAAATGCCGTCGATCCATGGATGGTGTTGCTCGCGTCGAAAGTGGACCATTTATAAATTAGAAAATTCGCTGGATAGGTACGGCAGTCATACCGCTTTGGGAAGAGAGAAGCTTTCAATATCTCAGTCCATTGCCAACACAGAATAAAAAGATTTCATTATAGCAGCCCCGACGCTGGAGGCTTCGCTGTCCCAGTTTGTGCTCGGCACCGAGGGTAACGATTTCTTCGGTGTGGGGTTGTGGGCAACTACCGACCATGGGAGGGGTCCTAGTCGGTTTCCAATTTTCGAGAGCCGACCGAACATTCGAACCCGAGACGCTGAACGTCGAACTTGGGAAAAAGCCTCTGCTCGCGTTGAATATACATTTGGTCAAACACTTTGCAAGAATATTAGAAGACCGGCAACATTCAGCCAATTTGCACTTATTTCCCTTGCCATTTCCATATCCTGGCCGCGTTTTGAAACGCCCCAACCACACTACCAGGAATAGGCACAGCTTCTTAGAGACGTCCTTGGTCTGCCATCCTCCACGGTCCTCATTCATAATGTCGTTCAATGAGCAGTTTGAATCTGCCACCAAGCCTGGTCCTGGTCGAAAAATCGTCGGCGCAGTTGTGATAGCAGCTGACGCAGCCGGTTAATTGGGCTGTTTATCTCTACGCATTGAAAATTTTGTTAACTTGGATCTAGGTGATATAGTCTATCATGATGCCAAAGGGACCACATCTGTCATCCCGGAGACTGCCAGACCGATGACTGAAGATACCACTTTCTGGATTGCTTCATGCACAAAACTACTGACGACCATTTCTGCAATGCAATGTGTCGAACAGAGTAAGCTAAACCTCGACGACGACGTCTCCTCGATCCTTGATGAGTTCAAGTCACCAGACATCTTGACTGGCTGGAACCAAGACACAGGAGAGCCGGAGCTTAGAAAGGCAACAAAGAAGATCACCTTGCGCCAGTTATTGACACACTCAAGTGGGATGGGGTATGATTTCCTTTCTCCAGATCTCCTGAAGTGGCGACAATTGCGAGGGGAGGCGGGCCACCCGGCGGAAGGTGAAATTGTAAGATCGATTCCTTGAAAGTTTGCCTTTTTGGAATCCTGACATGGTGGGCCGTAGCGGAAACAATATCTTATGCCTCTCTTGTTTGAGCCTGGTGAAGGCTGGAACTACAGCTGCAGCATCGATTGGGCCGGCAAAATGGTCGAGCGGGTGAATGGAGGAATGAAGCTGGGGCAGTACATGAAGAAGAACATTTGGGATCCTCTTGAAATGGTATCCACAGGCTTTCGTCTCCATGAGAACGAAAGGCTGCGCAGTCGATTGTGTGCCACGACCGCCAGAACACCACGAGGAGACCTTGTATCGGCCGACCCTTACCCCAATCCAAATCCGAAAGACGACCTAGGTGGCGGGGGTTTGTATGCGTCCGCCCAAGATTATATCAAAGTGCTCGTGTCCTTACTCAAAAATGATGGCATCCTCCTCAAGCCAGAGACCGTAAAATTGATGTTCTCACCACAGCTTTTGGATGAGGGGAGTTTGGTTGAGACAGTGACTGCGCAAGGGGCAGGTCCAATGTTTCGGGGCGGAGTTGACGGTCGGGCATGGAATTTCGGTCTAGGGGGGATCTTGAACATGGAAGACGTGGAGGATGTTTGCAAAAAGGGAACAATGTCATGGGGAGGCCTTCCAAACCTGTTCTGGGTTCGTCGCAGTCCTGGATTCATCGTTGTCTGAAGCTGACCATTCTAGTGGATCGACCCCAGTGCTGGCAATTGCGGCATGTACGCATCTCAAATTCTCCCGCCAGGCGATCTGGAGTCTATCAATCTCGCAGTTGCGTTCCGTAGAGAGATCTCCACTCGTCATAGTGGAAGGTGAAGAAGAAGGAGGAGAAGGAAGAGGAGAAGGAGGAGGAGGAGGAGAAGAAGAAGAAGAAGAGAGATATCGACCAGAAAACAGGTCAACAACTTCGAGCAACGTCTTTTGTGACAATATCGATTGGCCCTGTTGATGTTGACACGATTCATTGGGCCGTTTCGGACTCCTAAGGGAGGATGAGCAGGCATACTATCTATCCTGGCAGCAGGAATCCATCAAGCCCCAGTTTGCAATATGTATCCGGAAGAACCTGTGTCCCGTACCAGACCATAGTGTTCTTGACGAAGGCGTCGAGTAGCGCTAACATCGTGTTAGCTATTGGACTGAAATGAGGGACTATAATTTCATCCATCGATGCCCAGTGCCCATGGGGAAAGCATGTCCATAAGCATCATGCCGGAAGCCATCATGGGACTTCATCCAAGCCGCGAAGTCCGTAGAGCGGCAGGATTGGGCAGTGAAGCCGGAAGTAGCCTACTAAGCTGATAGCCACTGCGTTTGTGGGTAATTGATATCACTCCCAGCCAAATCTCCTTAAGCAAACTCAGATGATTTGTATTGATTCAATGCCTCACCTTTCGACCTGGAAGGAGTAGGAGGAATTCTTACCAATTTTTAGATCAAATGTATGAAGGCATGAGTGAGCCATCGGCGAGTGGGCTTTGAAAAAGGCTTCCTAAACACGGGTCAGCCAGCGACACAGAAGGCATCATCCTTGTGCATTATCACGCCCTTGATTGACATGCTGACACCTTTCAAGAGCGTCAACAGAAGTTTTCAATCGTAAAGTCAATTTAGGCGCAGGCAAGACCATAGTTGACCGACAAATGTAGGCAGTGCCAAGCATGTGAGCAAATCTGCAACATGAAAGGATTCCAAGACCGACCTACGAAGTAGATTCTAAGGCGATGTTGATGGGCCACAACATGGTTAACCCGTATACGCCCTTTGGTCTACAGCATAGTCCCTGATGATGGACTTCTGCTTGCAGTTACGTGAGTATCGCAACATGGCTGGTACATAAAGTATAAATGATGCCCTACCTATTATTGAGATCCGACAAACAATCATACGTTGACACACCTCACGATAGGCCAGTGAGCTTTTGAAAGATATCGCGATGCCAACCGGAGGCTGCCTTTGCGGCCAACTCAAATACGAGTATAGCGGCGAGCCTGTCATGAAGGTAAGGCCCATCGTCTCAACATTTCATTTTGTGGGCTAAGCCATCCAGGCGATATGCCACTGCATAACTTGTCGACACGTCAGTGGCAGCGTATTCACGACCAATATTATTGTCCCAGAGGGGAATTTCAAGGTCACAGCTGGGACACCCAAAACATACGTGACGACTCAAGAGAGTAGAATGACTTCAATATATTCTTCTGAGCGAATCGTGGCAATGTAATCAGCAAGGTTGGAGATGCTGAGGCTTTCCACGGTGTAATTCTCATCCCGGTTGGCTCTCTCGATGATGTCTCCGTGGTTGAAACGGCAGAGCCTGGTGTGGAGTTTTATGTTAGCAAGCGTGCCTCGTGGCTCCCAGAACTCAGTGGCAAGGGACAAATGCAAAAGTTTTCATAAGGTGGTGGGTGGTAGATGGCGATGGTGTCGACCGTGGTGCTCGTCCTAATGTGGTAGTACAGTTGGCCATATTAATAATATCACTATTCAGTCCTCAGACCCGATATCGGGGCTACGCCCTGATTGGCTAGGCTATGAGCTAAAGCGCCGCCCAATCACAAAATTTAAAGAATGTTGTGATAAACGAGTCTGAGACCCGATACGTGAAAATGGCCTACATTTCGTTTGAGCCGTTTAAATGACGTTATTAGTAAGCGATTATATAGATAGTTTTAGTAATTATGTACTTCGTCTTTTTAAATATTCATCGTTTAATCTTTTTAAATAATAGCTAAGAGTCTTAGCGACACCTTAATTTTTAAAAGTGTTAGTAGATTATAACTACTTTAATCGATTATATCTCTATCTATATATCTTTAATTAAGCTAAAACTTTCTATATGTTGGACACAGCCTTGAAGGAGACCGGTCACGAGCCGCACGAGCACGACTCATCACACTCGTTGGGCACGTGGGGGGATCCATAGGAGAACAAGGCTGAGTCACGTGGTATGCCCTGTTGGCTCTGT